TGGGTGGTTGGTTGGTTGTTGTTTTTTTACTTGGTTTGTTTGTTGGTTGGATGTCTTTTGTATATTATGTTATACTATATTATTGTTTTCCAACATTGTGTATATCTTTTGTAAATAATTTTACGTGTCTTTTTTATATTGTGTTATATTAGAGTACTGTTTTCCAACATTGTATATCTTTTGCAAATAATTTTATGTCATTTGTATATTATGTTATATTAATTGTATTTTGTTATCAAACATTGTGTATATCTTTTGTAAATAATCTTATATTTTTTGTACATTATGTTATATTATTGTTTTCCCACATTGTGTATATCTTTTGTGAATTTTTTATATGTGTCTTTTGTATTTTATGTTATATATTTAGATGTATTGTTCTCCAACATTGTGTATATCTTTTGTAAATAGTTTTATATGTCTTTTGTATATTGTCATATTAGATGTGGGTCTTCCGAAGGAGTACCTGGCGAGTTCCATGACGGACAGAGTGGACTGGCGGGAGAGGGTTTGGGACCGGGAACTTCATGTACTTCCCACATGATGATGATATTAGATGTATTTTGTTTTCTACCATTTCGTATATGTTTTATCAATAATTTTATTTGTGTCTTTTGTATGTAATAATAATACTTGTTATGTTAGATGTATTGTTTTCCAAAATAATTTATATCTTGTGTACATTTGTAAAAGAATGAGAAATATAAAGTTAAGTTTATCACACCGACTGATTTGTTGGTTGCCAATGGACTATTTATACTTTTTAGTCATCAGGTTTTTGAATGTATTTTTTAGGTGGCCACAATGTACTATTCCTAGCCTCCTATATCTACCTAGTACTAATTGTTGTACTACACACTATTAAGTCAATTCTTTATACTAACTCCAAAAGCAGAACCATATCATCCAATGGCATATTCAATTTGGTAACAATAATAGTTTATACAATTATTACACTTATAAAATAGTTAAGTTTTGTTGCATTGTTGGCTTGCCATACATTGTACCATGACTGTACCATAGTTGAGCAATAAAGTTCATTCATCAATTTATTCATCATTCATTCATATCTGTTTGTTTGTTTGTTTTTATTTATTTAACCAGGGGGATACATATCGCCCGTAGGGCGCTTTTCAATGAACCCTGGGCCTGGGGAAGACCCCAAACAAAAACATCAAACTCAAACTAATACAAATAACAACAAAAGTAACTTATAAAGTTACAAAAGTTACTAAATAATACTAAGGTAACTTAAGTAGCATACATTGCGCATGAAATCATAATACCAAAATAAGTGAAACAAAAGTGAAGCCTGACCATCATATAACATAGAACCAAGGTAGGACAAAAAAGAAATCAAGATTAAAATCAGGCTTGGAATTTGCATATCAATGATTGCCCAGTACATAAAGTTGTTTGAAGGCTGCTAGGGTCATGGCTGCTTTTAGTTGATGTGGTAGTGGGGCATCAGGCTTCACTGGAGGACTGAGAGCCAGAACATAGTACTGATGGTCAACTTAATGGCATCCAATGCAGTTTTTAGGGCTTGGAAACCAGGTTTTCAATATTCTAGTCACTTAGTTGAAACAACACTATCCCAATGTATATTGACCCTCATGGAGCAAAAATACCCAACATTCTCGGACGGAAAATGGTTACTGGAAGGGCCCTTGACTGATTTTTAGGGTACCACCTATAAAATTAACGGTGCACACCCCAGTTCTTCCGCGACCGGGGTCCGTGATAGTCCGTTGTAAAAAAGTGACGAAAGGGTTTTGAGGGTCCAAGTTTGAGGTGACATTTCTTATAAACTGCCACGAAGTATCATTAAACATTAACATGGCTGAAGAGTGTAAGAAATGGTGATTTTGGGGTGAAAATTTCTTTTGGCTCCGAACCTTACTTCCGGGTATCCTTGCGCGCCAAGTGTAATCCGCCCGTTTGACCTAGTTTTCGCTCTGTGGCTTCGTAGGGGTGGATTTGCAACCCCTCGCGCCGTGGACTGTTTAGAAAATTACAGTACTAGAATTTTCTTTATAATTTACTCGGGTATAGTCAAGGCTTGGGTCTTTCTGCCAGCATCAGTCATTTCTGCCGGAAAATTTTTTTTTGTGGGATTATCCTACGCGAAAATTTGCAATTTTGGGCATTAATTTTGGAGTGAAAATAATGTTTTTTCCGTTGATTTTACCAAACTTAAAAAGGTTGAAGAAACCAAACTCAGCTTGTCTTGTAGCTGAAGAGATACCCTTTCGTCCCATATACAGTTATTCTCCTTCCGAATTATTCCACGCCAGAGACGGTCGCTAGATTTGAGGGTGTGCAGCTTCGAAAAGAGGCCCCAAATAAACTGGGGTGTGCCCCCTAAAGGACTTATCTTCAGGTTTGTTTCTGCAGTTTTAAATACTCAAAGTATGAAATAATGATTGAAATGTACATATGTTAGATAATGTGTATCATATAATATAAAGACTTACTTTTTTAAATCAATTCCAGTTTTGCTGCTCTGAAATCACATTGGATGCCTTTAATGGTGGTATCTGCCCTGTGAATCTGGGAGGACAGCATGCCATCCTCAGAGGGTCTGCTACACTCCAACACTGAGAGCATGCCCGTAGCCAGGATTTGAATGGGGGAGGGTTCTTTCCGGTGCTTGAGGGACCAGCGAGGATTTGAATGGGGGAGGGTTCTTTCCAGTGGTTGAGGGACCAGCGAGCACCGAAGGCGCGAGGTTCCTAGGGGGGTCCGGGGGCATTCTCCCCTAGCCTGGGTTCCACCAACTGTGGGAGCGGACGTAAACTAACCAGGATGGAACCCTGAGGCTATTCTCCCCCAGGAAATTTTGAAATATGAACCTTTTGAAATGGCATTTCCTGGGTTTCTTTAGAGGATTTCAGAAAAAAATCAGACATAACTTTTTTCAATGACAAAGTGAGCTGTTTTCCTACAATTCTACCTTCGCTGGTGACACGAATCAGTCCACCTTTTAAAGAAAAATCTTCAACCTTTAGATAAAAAGTGGACCAAAAAGTGTGGGGGGGGGGTTGTCTGAAGCCCCCCTGGCTACGGGCAGGCAGAGTCACAACTTGGTCAGCACTTGAAGGCCAAGGTCACACCGTCTGCGACTGTGAGCATGCTGATGTTGACACGAGGGTCCTCGTGTATCTTCTTGTTGAGACGTACGATGGCAGCTGTATCAGCTGTCCAGGTGCTCTCAGCTGTCAACACTCGACCGCTCCACAGCACCTGGAGAAGCAGACAAAAGGAAAAATTTTAAACTTTGCAACATATTCTCTCTCTATATATATATAGAGAGAGAGAAGTACCGAAGAATACCATGCAGCTATATGAAATCTTTATGGAAGAGAGACATATTGAACCTAGTAATCTATACATGTAATGTCAAACCTGCCAAGGAGACCACCTCTTTTAGCTGGCAACCTGTCCGTGGTGACCACTTTTTCTCGGTCCCCAAAATTTTCCCCATTGACACAAGCATTAAGCAACCTGTCCAAGGTGGCCACCAGGCCAACGTGAGTTGGGTCCACTCAAGGCCTGACACCTGCCCATGGTGACCACATCATTCTTGATCATCTTGATTACTGATAATAACTAAATGAGAAATCATGAAGAAACCAGTTTTCCTTGACTCACAGCTGGATGATGTTTTTGTTCGAGGTAAATTGTTCCATGTGCCACCCTCCCCACATGCATTTACAGCATTTTGACATTAAAATATCTCAACTTGGAAACCATTTATATGCCTCAGTCATGTTGTGAGGCGACCCTCTTCAAGGAGACCACCTGTCCAAGGTGACCACTTTTCTTTGGTCCCCTGGGTGGCCAGCTTGGGCAGGTTTGACTGTATAGTTCTACACGTGCATAATATTTTGCACCTTGGTGTTTTTAATCATCAAATGTCTGTAATCATTTTCTTGTTAATCCTAGCAGCCACACAAAGTTAGTGACAAATATCATCCTTGATAGAGACAGCACGGGGTTACATCAGAGCCCTCTCCCTTTCCTTGAACCGTGACCACAGCTACGAATGTACTTCCCGTATACATGTACAATACACTCATCCAGTCTCATGACTAAACTTGACCATGATGCTGACAAAAGATGGCAGATGCTGTTGGAGAGCTTTTTTTCTTCAATAATCATAATTGTAAATCATACCTATCAGGTTAAATCTTTCTTTTATAAAAGTCTGTGAGTACTAGTAGAAGGATCCAACTGACTGGACAACTTCATGTCAAGATCCTTTAACTTCACCTTTAAGTTTGTAAGAAGAAGTAAGGCCAATTCATCTTCTAATGCCTCAAAAGAAAAAGTCAAACCCAAGAAATCTACATGTAGCTCAATCAACGCATATTTTAGAATGAAGAATTGTAGAAATTAATTGAGAATACATACAAACATAATTACATGTATACAATATGACTTCATATAAGCCTTTGATGAAACAAAGAGTAAGAAACTACAGAACTGAAGGTGATGATCTCACAGATTACCCACCAGACACAGTCAGAACCTATCCTTGAAACTGCCCCTAGTCACCTAGTGTGCCTTGAATGTGACAAGCAAAAGTTCTCCTACACAGGCCCTATCCTCTGGAACAGGTTGCAACATGATACAAAGACCTGCCCGTCCATGTCTACTTTTAAAATGAGATGTAAAAATTGGCCTGACCTCTGACCCCTCCATACCAACAATTTGGATGGACAATGACTGGACTGGACAATTTGTACTTTTTGTTATTATCATTATTTACCTGTCCAATGTCATTGGTTACTTACTGTTTTTCTTCATTATTATTGCCATTATCATTATTTACTGTACCCCAATTTTACTGTTTGTATGTGAATGTTGTGTTTGTCATGTAAAACAGGGCCCCATTGGAAAGTGTAATCATTTCATGAGCCACCCTGTATAAAAATGACAGAAAATAAAAATAAAATAAACTTACATTGTCCACAGCCACCAGACCTCCAGGCCGCAGCAGCACCAGGGACTTCTCATAATAGATGTCATAGTTTGACTTGTCTGCATCGATGAACACAAAGTCATATGTTCCTGCCTCTCCAGCAGCAATTAGCTCATCTGTGTGGAAGACATAAATGGACTTTAAACTAGAAAGGTAACATTTGCATATGCATAATGTTTACCTTCACATGGCCCAGCTTAACAAACTACTGCTTTGATCATGCATCTTAACACCAGTTATCATCATGGTGACAGATGTCTGGTCCTGGTCATTGATCTCATTTGTTTGGAGAAGAAGAGGAAAAAGAAACAGCTAAAACAAAAAAATATGTTTTCCTTCTGTGAAGGTAAACGTAACAAGACTGGAAATGAAAACATACATTGCCATGGCAACGGCATTTGTTGGTAAGGTTACTGTTTGCATGTTACTGTCGTGATTTTGGGGAAGCCTCATTGTGGTCTGTCATGGGTTTGCAGGGTTGGACAAGTTTTCAAAAATCCACTTGCCCTATTGGGCAAGTACATGGTCATTTCCACTTGCCCAAAATATACATATTTCCATATAAGGTGGTTTGAAATGCACCAAACACTGTAGCGCCTATATACATTTTGTACTCTGCATCCAAAAAAATTGCTTGCCCAATCAGGCAAGTGCATGCAGGGACCCATGCACTTGCCCGAATGGTACTTTTACTTGTCCTGGGCAAGTGGACTTGTCCAACCCTGGAAACTTTGTTAAAAACAACATTTGAGGTGGCAAGTCTCTGGGAAAACCTGCCCTGCTTTCTGTGAGCCCTGGGCTCAGGGGTCAGGATAGGAGTGATCTACTGAACTGCACTGTCCAGACTTAACACTAGAGCTGTGTACCTAAACAAATTTTAGGTACAGGTACAGGTACAGGTACACAGGTTTAGGTACAGGTCCGGACCTGAACCTGTACCTGAACAATTCGACCAATTTATATGCTCTTCTGAACTCCTTCAATAACAAAAAAAAACATAAATAAACTTGATAGTTAAGGTTTATTCTTTGTTTATGGCGAATGCTCAGATAAAATATAGGCTATATATATGTTTTTGTTTTCATGAACACACTGTCCTTACACAGGGACCCATTGTTAACCAGCTATTTACACATTTGAGGTCACAAATAGGCATAAAATTGGTGTGAAATTGTTTAGGTACAGTACCGGTACTGAGGGATTAGGTATTTTGGACCTGTACCTAATCAATTTTACCGGTACAGTATCGGTACTGCGTACCGGTACACAGCTCTACTTAACACTGGTAACAATTAATGTACATCTAGACTTTCCTATAGTTATCACCAACAGCATTATACGGATAAACATGTATTAATATTAGTAGCACCTTTAGTAGTTCAGTAGATCACTCCTCCCCTCCCCTGAGTGTATAGTTGAAAAGCCCTTAGGGGTCACAAAGAGTTGGGCCCCAACATTATACACGTTCTAAGGGTTAATACATAGGTTTTAAAAGGCTCTATAGATTAATTTGAACACATCTCGCATGTACTGAGTGCGCCGCTTTTTCGAATTTGAACAATAGTAACAGTTACAGTTACGGGCGTCCTCTCTAATAGGACGTGAAGCTGGAGGTCACGGGTAAATTTCTTTTGAGAAATTTTAAAGGTAGATATCTTTCAAACACTAGTTAATGGAATTAGTAAATAACCCTGGACATATCCCCTACCGAGTGTGTTGGCTGCAGGCTGTATTCTCACATCTATCTTGTGCTCCACTCCTGCCTGCATGGAGAAATACAACATAGTCAGTACCACGTCTGTCACAGGCTTTCCACATGTGCACGTGGAGGTGTCAACATGACATTTGCTATGACTGTGTACTAGGTTATAATGAGAGTTCTAGTCAGTGTTCATCTTTCAATCATTTAGGCCACACCGACTTAATTCTTATGGATGACATCCTCTGAAGACCCCCAAACTAGTATGCGCAGGCGAATAAAAAAAAACACAGGACTACAAAGCTGGTATTGTGAATAGCGATGTATACGACAAGCCGGCACATGCAGGCTTTTTGTGGAATTCATGAATCAGCACTGTGCGTATGTACGTACTGAGTAATTAAGTCACGGAGCTTCAGTAGCCTGGGTGCCGTCCTCCAGATTTACCATCGGCTCTGTATTACTACCATGGACTACCCAGGCCTACTCAGTTGGGTTAAGGCGGCCTAGGTTGATATTCATCTTCGAATTCGGGCGTGTGTCTGCACGATTGCCACAGACATGTTTCGAACCCAAATCATGTTCCACCATGTTCGATATGACGTCATTTGAATAGAACGCGTGTTCTAATTCGGGGTTACCAGCGGTCATTTGTATGCTTCCCCTGTAAACCCGCGTTGTTACGCATTTTATTCACGTATGTCTTAAAAGGCTTAACGCGCAGCTGAAAACAGCATAATTGATCTTTAGAGTAATCCATGTTTACGTATTGTAACTTTTTTATCAAAATTGTCTGAGGCTATTTTGCATATAAGTCGATATTTTTTAACTGTGGCAATTTTTTAACGAAAAATGACAGAAAAATAGCTGTTTCTGTCGTTTTTGACCCAAAAAAACAATGTAACTGTCATTAAAAAAAATAAAATAGAAGATAATAAAACAAAATAGCCTCGGACAAAAATAATAAATATGGGATTGGCTTTCTACTTGTAAAATATCATGATGAAAGGTGTTGTTACCGCTTGCGCGTAAAGCCATGAAGTAAACAGCTTTTTTTAACCAAAATGTTGATTTTTAACCCAAAAATCCAGAAGTAGTAAAAACAAAATAACCTTTATTCAATGTGCTTTAAGTACTACTAGAACTGTGTGAAGTTTAGTTGTGGTGCGACCAAGCTATCAAAAGTTACAGGCATAGTATGCCGTAGGCTGGCTTAACCCAACCGAGTAGAGCTAAGGCCAGAGCCTCGGAGGACGTGATCTTTTTTTGGGTTTGAGAACAGGCAAAAATCAATGTGCCCGGGGATGTTATCCATAAAATTACATCAGTGTGGCCTTAGGTGCCTTTGAAATATCAGGCAAACCAATCACCTGTAACCATCCGCGTAAACCTTAGGCCCGATTTACACGTGTGTCGTTTATATGTGTTGGGCGTGAAACGACGCGGCGCCGCACTGCGCATTTTGTGCGACAGATTTTTTTAGCACGGCCCCTCGCGTCTGTGGCACAGGTTGTTTACACGCTTAAAAAAATCTGTCGCACAAAACGTGCCACGCGTCATTTCATGCCCAACACATATAAACGACGCACGTGTAGCTTGGCTGAGCCCTGGGCAGTGAGAATGCATTATTCAGTACCTCTGCAAGGAAGATCTGAGCAGCAGAACAAGCAAGGAAGATTCTACAGCAGTAGAACAAGTTTTTTGAACTAGTAACCTCTTTCCAGAAGGGCCTGCCCAAGTTGACATCAGTGTCGGTGATATCACAGGCGATGAGTTTTCCGTCCTGAGGTAGAGCCAGCGCCATGGACAGGCTGTTATACCCTGTAAACACTCCTACAGGGAGAAACACAGACAGTGTTAAAAAAAAAGAAATAAATTTGAAGTTTTCACACCTTGGTGATGAGTTGAAGTGAATTTTTTGGCCTCCACAGCTGCTACACTCTCAGAGTCTTGAAAGTTGAGACGCTGTTGTATGTCAGCGGCCTCCAAGCATTACGATCTTGGCAAAGTGGTTGAAAGTTGTATCCAGTCTTCGATTATGTAACAACCAAGATATAAAATGTTAGAACCAACACATCAATACATACCAATTTCAATAGCCTTCCGCACCCCCATGGCTCGAGCAATGTTTGCCAGCAGCTGACATTCCTCGGGGGCTGCCAACATCCTATGACGCCACAACTTCAATGTCATCTATAAAAAAACAATGAAACAACATGACTTTCAGACAGTGAACTCTTTATCAACCCGAACACTAGCCTGGATACCAGACCAGGGCTTGAAATTCATTTTTGGGAATAGGACACTGCACTGGTGCACCCAACCTGGTGCCCAAAAAATTTTGGGGGTGCACCATATGAAATAAAATCTAGTAATTACAGATCTTACTGCTCCTCTTCTAGGCTTGAATCTGAAATGGGAGCTAACTTCAAAATCTTAAACAAGTACTACAACAAGGATTTTATTATTTTTCTGACACTTAGAATTTAGTTAGATGCCAAGAAAATCCTGTATACTATTTAATAATTTAAGAAAAATTTGGGTGCACCAGTGCACCTACAGAAAAAAATTGGGTGCACAGCTCCAGCACTAAGGTGCACATGCACCCAGTACTAGTATTTCAAGCCCTACAGACCCTGTGAGATGTGGTACTCCCTCGGCTGGACCCGGGGTCTGATTTATTTCTTGGAAAGCCGAATAGATGACTCTAGGAAGTGTGTTTCTGTCAAACCTGAGAGTGGTTGGGCAGAGACCTGATTAGTAAATTTTTTTTCTTTGTTCTATTGTGATGGGGTCTGGCACCAAGGCTTATAATCCAAACTCCCTCACCCTTAGGCCACACCAATTTAATTTGTTGGTTCTCGGATTTTTTCAGAAAAAATAATGAAGCGACAGGGCGAAAAAAAAAAAAAAAAAAACGAA